CCACTCACCCAGCGGAGCAGCTCTCGGGCCGCCGGCACCGCTTCACCGAGACCTCCCACTGAGGCGGCGCCTGCCTCCGCCCCACGTCCTGCCGCCCGCCCGCTGCCCTCGTCGGGGTCTGGAAGGAGAGGGAAGAGAGAAAGTGAGGGGTTACCTGACGGAGCGGCCGCGCCCGCGTCAGCAGGGCCTGCTGAGGGGGGGAAAGCTGCAACGGTTTTGCCCCCGCCTCCCCGCCACACCGCGGTTCCTCTGCGGCATTTTAGGCGAGATGTCAAATTATGGTCGCCGGTTCTCCAGGGCACTGAAGAAAGAGACAAAAGTTCTTAGCAAGGACAGTGATATTCCACAGGCTACTTTAGAAAAGGTACCGGAGAGAGAGAGAGATGGATATACAAAGTCACTTTGCCAGGCCTGCCTCAGACAGTGCACGTAACTCCTTCAGCAGCGAGTCAACAGCAAAAGCACACACTCTTCCATTCCTAATCAATAAACCTACATCTTTTAATAAGTTAATGGCACCATTAGTATGGCATGAGCTTTAAACCATTTTTCTACCCTGATCGAAAGCCTGCCTCCACTGCTACTGTTGCCATGAATTCAAGTTAGCAGGCTAAAATAACCACCTGTCCAGTCCGTTGTTATACTGTGGGACAGGTGCTGTGACCAGCAGTTCTACAAGCATCTGGTCTGTTTCTTCCCAGTGCTTCTAGCAGTGGAATTCCTGGCAAACAGCACTTAACCACTCTTAAGGAACAGAAGATGGTTTAAAATACAACTGCAGGTGTGACTGCCTAACCACGTAAGTAATCTACCAGCCATTTAAAATTAAGTATCTTTACATTCAACCCAGCATAACTTAGAAGCTGCTCAAAAGTACCTGGGACATCCCCGTACCAGGGATGGTACGGTACTTCAGGCATACAAAAGCTAAGCAAGATGTGCCTGAAGTTTTTCTCAACTTTATAGATTTTTCTAAATTTCCACCAGTAAAGACAGATTTATTAAGCGTAATCAAGAGGTGAATGCAGAACAGCAAAGCTGAGCTTAGCACTGAGAATGAAGTCAAAGGTAGTTTGATGCCAAAACAGAGCTGGGGAAAATGACAGTAACAGGATCCCTCCTTGGCATAATGCGTGCAGTCAGCACGCTTGCGCCAGAAGGAGAAGGCCTCAGCGGAACACAGTCAACTATTTCTTCTACTCCAACAAACACCTTAGCCATAAATTATTGAACTGCTCGAGGGAAGCTACACTCAGTCTTTCCTGGAAATGTATTTTTGTCAGTACTACAGCCCAGAGTCACAGGTTAAAAGGAATGATAAGAGAGAGCGTGTGATTCTGTAGCCTAATGGTTAGACTGTCAGTCCCCCTGCAAATTAGAGGAAACCTGGGCTGATGGTATGCTTCCAGTGGTTTCTGCTCTTTAACCACTACCATCCAGAGACACAGTCCACTAGCCCAAACATAAAGCTCCATGACACTTAGGGGAGAACTTTTCTTATTTCTATGGTGCGAAAAGGTAGTAGAAAAACCTCTTTGCTGGCAGGTAGCAATAGAATGAGGGGGAATGGTTTTAAACTGGAAGAGGGTAGATTTAAACTAGGTATTAGGAAGAAATTCTTTACTGTGAGGGTGGTGAGACACTGGCACAGGTTGCCCAGGGAAGTTGTGGATGCCCCTTCTCTGGAAGTGTTCACGGCCAGGGTGGACAGGACTTTGAGCAACCTGGTCTGGTGGAGGTGTCCCTGCCCATGGCAGGGGGTTGGACTGGATGATCTTTAAGGTCCCTTCCAACCGAAACCATTCTGTGATTCTGTGGTTCTGAGAGATGTGTGGTAGCAAGGCAATACTGCCACTAGAGGGGCTGCCACCGATTAGTGAAAGCTATTAGGATTATAGCAACACACAGTGAAAATAGTAATGAAAAACTCTTCTCCTCTTTAAGAGCAAAAACCCAAGATAACGCAATTCCAAAAGGTTACCTGCAGCAATATCTTCTCTGGCACTCTGTTCCGAATCAACTGACCCAAAGGAAGTATCTTCCAGCAGCAATTCTCTTTCACTATCGTATGCTTCTTCAGCTTCTCTGTTATCAAAGAAATTGGCCTCTTCGTGCTCAGGTGGAGGATTAACAGCCCTCTCCTCCTCAACAGGCTGTTCTGGCCTCTTATCTTCAAGCTGTTGAAATTTCTGATTGCTCTCATCAATGGCATTTAAGGGTCTCATGGAAACTTTGTCATATTCAGCCTCTTTTGCACTATCTGTGACAGACAGGGAGACACACATCAGCTCAGTCTTTAATTTGTATTTCTTATCCCCAGCTACCTCCAGTGAAATATTGCATTTGAGAAAGCTTTCTTCACATTTTTTAAACACTTCGGTTTGCATATTGCTTCCAGTATATTCTCAACTTTCAGTAACATCTAATTAAATGTTTATATGGAATTATGCAGGGTATCAACCACTGACCAGACTCAAATATTAGCATCGTTCATGAATTTATGAGAAATCACATACTTAACACGTGCTACTGTGAAAGAAGACTTGCTAAGAGTGTATCTTACCACCTCGCACGTTAATTAGAAAAACCAGCAAGTTCGTAGCTGGTTCATCCCCCATCAAAAGATCTGTTTCATCAGTATTTCTACTTACACACTCTTCTATGAATGCAGGCAAAAATATGATGATAGGGACACCTGAGATTTTAGGTGCATAGTTTTGGTGCCTGAACTTCACATTAATCACTGAATCTTTCATAATTAGGTGCTATCTACTTCAGCAAAAGAGACTGCTCTAAACCTTCCAGAAAATTCAACACATTAGCGTATGTGAATCCCTGTTTCTTGAGAGGAGGTATAGACATGATCTAATGGCTCCTTCTAGCTATATCCATGCACAGATCCCACCTGCTTGCACAGAACCTGGCCCATAAGAACAGAGCTCAACATTTTCTCTCAGGATTTGTCCCTGGAACACCTAACACAATGCCAAAAAAAAAAAATCCATTAAAAATGAGCAAAAACCCAGTGGACTCCACAGAGCCTCGTTCAATTCTGTTCCTTCACCCGCTTCTTAAAGCTTCTCTGGGTTACATGGTGGTGTCTGGGACAGGGTTTTATTTCTGTTTCATCTGTTTATTAACTGGTTTAACATCCTACCTTGAATGTGCAGCTGATTATCTTCCTGTTCTGGAAGAGATGCAAGTGGGACACTGTCACTAGCAGACGAATATTTACTCCTTAAAGAATATATTAATTCTTGAATATCATCCATCAGTGCGCTCTCCTCATCATACAAATCCATCTCTTTCACCACCTCCTCTTTATTTTCTGCCGCTCTGGAATCCAGAACTTTTCCCACAACATCCATAATGCTCGTTTCTGAAAACTCAAGTATCTGGTCCAAAGCTTTTTCTACATCTTCGTTATTATGGCTTGCCTTCCGAGAAAGCTCCATCTCTACCTTCATGTCGTGAAACATGGCTTCTATCCTAACCACGTGTTGAAGCCCAAGGTACTTTTGTAGACGTATTACACGCTTTTCATCAAGAAAACCTCTCATTATTGTAAGGCGCTTCACTGAGTCACTGAAGTCTGTTACAGTGGCTGCTGAGCTGTCAGCAGGGCTGGGGAAATCTGCAGATTGCTGGTGGTAATTTTTTGTATGCTCTAAATTTTGCACCTCTTTTGAGTCTTTCTGTGTAATGCCCTCTGGGAGATGATATTTCCTTTGCTTAAAGTCGTTCTTGTCTTCTGCATCAGGAGGTTGGAAATTATGTTCTTCCACAGCTAATGGTTCCTCAGCTTCAGAAGGCTCCTCATCATCTTCCATGAATTGTTCCATGTCATCCCATTTAGCATCTTCACTCACTGGTACATCACCCTCTTTGTTCCCAGTCTCACTTGTATCTTGCATGCTGACCGCTTTTTTAGCCTCTTTAGAAAATGTGTTTGTTTCCTCTCCTGTTTTGTGAGTAGGAGTTGCAGTTCCCAAAACAGCTTCGCTTCGTATGTCTAATTCAGGGTTTGTACTTTTAACATTTGGTGTATCACCCTGTACATTTGCAGCCCTTGCTTGTGACAGCTTTGCACTTGCAGCATTCTCATCTTCCAGTAGCTCTTCCTCTACTTGTTTGAGATCAGGGTTGTCTTCAGCATCTGGCTCTTCAGATTGCAATTCTGGTCTTAGTGTTCCTTCTTTAGTTAAATGAGTGCCAAGATTTCTGTCTGAAACTGCATCCTCCGTACGAGCAGTTCCTTGCTGAGTAAGATTCTCCACATTAGTATTCTGTGTAGTGCTTTTAGATTTTTCTTCAGGGGAACTTCTCTCAGTGCTTTCTCCAAACCCCGTCATCTTGCCAAGATTTCTTGAAAACTGTTCTTTCCTATCTGCCTCTGAATACTCAGTCTCATTTTCCCATGGCCTAGGTTGCTTGACAGCTCCTTTATGGCTTGGGTCTCCCTCCCCTGCAGGGGTGTCTTTCATGTTTCCCCTTTTTATTTCAGGTTCTTTGTTAACAGAGGTGGGGTTTTGATTTTCATGATCAGGCTCTCCTGTTTGTTTCAAATCTTCTTCATGTCTTAGAAGCTCTTTCTCTACAGCAGGCATTCCATGCTCCAGTTTCTCTTCTGAGAGGTCAGTATCTGCTAATTCACTCTGAGATCCATTGTTTATCTCTTCCACTGGCTTGGCTGGAACATCAACAGAAGGCTTGTCCTCAGCTCTTCCTTTCTCATTTGTTTTCTCCCATAACTTTTTGTGCTTTAAATCACTTTTGAAGACCTCTCCCAAGGTGTCATCCTCAAACTTTTTCTCCTCTTTCTCTGTTTGAGCAGGCAGCGCTCTTTCTGGATTTATGTTGGTATCATCAACAGGTGGTTTTAAAGCATCTTTCTTGCTTTTAACCAATGATTTGGAATCCAGATAATGTCCTGGACTAGGCAAAACATGAGGATCAGGCACAGCTGTACTCTTCAGCTCTTCAGTGTGTGGCTCAGTTCCATCAACTGTGAGCTGCTCTTCAAACTGTTCAGTATTGTTTGGTTTTTCTTTGGAACCCAAATCACCTCCACCTACAGGTTTCTTTCTGAGGAGTTCTTTAGAGAGATCCTCAGGTTGAGTTGTTGCTGATGCTTCCCTTTTACTAATGAGCATCACCTCATCCTGTTCCTCTTTTGTTTGTTGAGATTCAAACCTATCCACACTTACACTGTCACCTGAATTCTTGCTCTTACTGAAGGCATCCTTAAGAATAAATTCATCTGAATCATGTTCTTCCTCGTTGTGTCTTTGGTTATTTAGCTCTGTAGCACCCTTTGCATCTTCATCAAGTTCATGATTTTGTGACTCAACGTCATTGTTTTCATCATCATTTAAATCCACTGGAGATTTAATTTCTTCCTCTGCCATAAAAGACAGCAAAGGGATTTCTTCAGACTGATCTGCAAAGCCTGGCTCCTTCTCTGCATCCTGAGTATTAATGCTCAAATCTTCATTAAAATCATCTTCCAGCGATGTAACAAGGCGAGTCACCTCATTATCTGATACAACAGCATCAGCAGTTGAGCCAAACTTTGTTTTCAAGTTCACAGAGAGCTCTCTGTTTAAAAGTGAAGAGGCATTGACTTCTTCACTCTCTTTGTCAAGTTGACTGGTTTCACCCTGAGGAATACTAGTGTTTTTGGTATTTTCACTTTCTAGCCCTTTTAGTTTCCCATGAAGTATTCCTTTCAAGTGCTCATATGCAAATTGATCTCCCTGAGAGTTTTCTTCATGAGTATTGACACTGGAGTCTCCCCCAGTATTTTCAGTTCCTTCTGTAAGAGAACTGTCCGCTTCCTCTGTCATGGCGAAAGCTTCCTTGTTGTCTTCTATGCTTAGCTCAAGATTGTCCATCTCCAAAGCATCAAGGGACTTGGCTGTATCAGCCTGTTCAATCTCCTCATCTCTTCCAATTCCTTCAGCTGGTTTTACCCCTGGATCACTTGATTCAGTTTCCCCTTCATTTGCTCTTGTCTCTTGCAATGACTTCAAAAGTTCATCCACATTATAATTATCAAAATCATCCCTTCCGCCATCAAAGCAAACAAAGTCTGTTTCCTGAAATGAAAAACAATATGTAATCACAAATATTATTGTCTTTATTATGCTGATGATACCAAATTCATTTGGTTGGTTAGAGAGAGATGCAGCAGCAAAGTAAATTACATTAATCGTGCCAAATTAACCCCTTGAATCTTTAACAAAACCTTTCTTTGAGATCAGTTTTGCCTAAGGACCCTTAAAAACCTAAATAAAAAGCTTAAGGCTTAGCACTGTCAAAGACCTCCCAGTGAGGAGCGAACTCTAAGTCAGTAAGGGAGCTGACAGTGTAATACTTCACTCATCACACATATCCTGAGTTAAGAACAAGTCTACTGCTGAATGCCAGTGAGGAGAACAAAACAAACATCGCTAAGCTTGTTTGTCACAATCTCTTTCACCTGGTCTCTTCTCAAATGACCAAGTCCTCCAAGCAGGAGCTGCCTGTCACACAATTTCTGAAAAATAAATTAAACAGCACTGCAAGCCACTGAACACAATTTCATAAGGGTCTGAAGCTGCATCCACAAACAGGCCTTACTCACACAACTCTGGAGTTACTACCTGCTAGTGTGTGGAAGGACCAATTCTAGAATCAAAGGGCTAACAGTGTATCAGGTCTTGTTTGTCTGTGTGATAGTACTTTAAACTTCCAAAGTTTGGGAAAATAAAGAACTCTGAATACATACCAAACAGCCTATGTGTAAGCCAGCTAGCAGCATTTCTAGAGCTCAATCCAAACAGGTTTTTTTAGACGAAAACCAGAATATTCAAGTAAAGAAAGATCAATGCCCTCATTCTGGGCTGATGCTTACACACCCATCCACATACACAGCTGCACTAACATGCCACCCCCAACATATTTGTGCATCTCTGCACCTATGCAGTGGTTTACTAACAAAAGGTAACTAAGGATCTCTGATATTCCCATGCTTCTCCTTAGGAATTTTATTGAATGCTGATGTAAGAAACAGTAAGCAGCCCAATTCAAAAAACAACAAGTAAGACTTACATCTGTTGGTAACTCTAGCTCCTCATTGGAATAATTGTGATTTATTTCAAGTAAATCCTTTGGAAAATATCCAAAATCGCTGCCAACCTGCCAGAAAACAAACACAAGGAAACAAAAAGCAGTAAAGCAGCTTTTGAAATCATGTAACTGTGTTAAAATCCTATTTACAGACACTAGTAACAAACACTTCAAACTCTCTCAAGTATTTCTACATGAAGTTTAACACAGTGAATAAAAGATTAGCAATGTCTTGTTATGCAAGAATTTTCATTGAGGTTTTATAGTCAAATTTCACAACACCCCTGTGAAGTTGCTATGTTTTAATGTTTGTGCTTTAAAGCCCAACTTACAACAAATTACTAGGAGAGCTGGGAGCGAAGCCCAAGCATTCTGGCTCGCGTGATTTCACTGCTATTGTGCACTCTCACTGGCACCACATATGCCTCAAGTATTTTCTCACGTAGTAAGCAGAAGAGGATCTTTGTGCATGGATATAAATCTTATTAGTCAATATTACACTCTGAAATATGCTCCCTTGGTAGATTAAGGGGAAAAAAAAAACCAACTTAAAGCAGATTTTAGGAAAATGTAAAATTGTACCCGAGATAACAAGCTATTTTAAAACCTGTGTGGAAAATATACCCACTCTGCAAATCCATTGTTGCTCTTCAGTGACTAATACGGGCAAAAATCAGTTGCAGATGGCTATTTACAAGCAAGTCAATGTGCTAAGCTATGGCAAACAGTGGAAGAGAAGAATCTCTCTTATCACTCACAGGATAAGATCTACACAGTAATGTTCTCACTGGAGAGTTCTGACAACAGCTGTCAAGAAGCCAATATTAATCCCATGCTATCACTGCACTGATTAGATAATCCAGGCAATTAGAGCCTGGTGGACACACCTAGACAGGTACAGTTCCTAGACAATCAAAATATCTGGGACGGGGAAAAGTGTTGGTCATTTCCTCAATGTTTTATTACAGGAGGAAGACCACAATTGCCAATTTTCTTGAAGAAAAGAAGAAGCACTCAGTTAAAGATCAAATTAAAAAGGAAACCAGTTATGTCAAAACAATTAGGGATATGTATTGTTACACTGATACCACTGAAATAGGTTAATCTGGGCTGAAAGTTTCTGGATTTGCAATGGCGTTAAAAAAACCAACCAACCAAAAAAACCAAACCCCAAACTGTATCTAGTAAATACTACTACATACCAGTACTAAAACACTTTTTTGTTTTGTTATGCAAGCAAAGTAAACATTATGGGGCTTCCTTTTTCAACTATTTCTCATTCAGATCTTACCTTCTATAGTTGATATCTCTGAATTTAGTCTTATATATTCTACAAACTTCTATTCCAGTTTTAAATTATCTTTCTGAAAACAAAAGTCAAAGCTGCAAAGTAGCCTCCTTACACACTAATCTCCGTGACTACCATCATAATTAGGCATCACAATTTGAAACTCATTTAGTGCAATCCAAGCTGCTGACCATACAAGTCCTCTGCAATGACCCAGTTTGGCTCTTACGTGGTTTACAAGCCATGTGGGATCCGCATGCCCAAAATTTCATCTGCTCCTCTCCCTACAAGTCCTCTCTTGTAAGGGAAAAAATGCCTCACTGTACAAATAAAGGAAACATTCTTCAATTTCTATACAGAGACAAAAGGCGGTGTGAATACCAAGTAAACAAGGGGGGGAAAAAGAGTATCCTTCAGTTCCACTCCCTTCCCAGCTAAAGTGCCATGGATGGACAAAACATGTATCTGGGTGGATGAAACACGTCACTGTGTGTACAGCACCTGTCCCTACCAGGCCCCATGGGTGACAGCCAGCTCTGGCAGATTCCCTGACTGCCGCCAACCAAGAAACCAGCTTCTCAAACTACTTATCTCAGTGACAGAAAACAGCCAGCTGGGAAACAAGATGTTGAAATGTTTTTAACCTTAAAGCCCACATCCCTAAAGCACAGGCATCACAGGTTCCTAAAACTGCAGAACGTTGGTCAAAGGAAGGAGCTGGTTTGGCCTGAGCTTTCTGAACGCTGGCGTTGCTAAGCAAGCACAGAAACATCAGGAACAAATTTCCTGATCCTCTGGGTCCTCCAGACATACTCTGTCTTACCTTAAATCTACCCCACCTGTCTTCCTTTCTACTACCCTTTGCATAAGATTTAAAAACATAACAGAAAAATCACTATTAAGTAATCGTCACAGAATATTGTCCAAGCATTTGGCTTTGCTGTATTAATGAGGTTTAGACAGCTCTGCAAAAAACTGCATGCCATATAATGTATAGAATGTATACTACAGCCAGGTTCCAAAATTTTTTCACATGCACAATGCTCACTGAGCTCAATGGGAGTTCCGCAAGCAATAAAGTATATGAGACTGGGATCATAAAATAAAGAATCTGTTTTGTTGAAATGCAGCATGTTTGCTGGCACAGGGCAAAAAATCAACAATGGCTTGAAAAGGGTGGAGTGAACTAGAAAAGCAAAGTCAAATAAAGCCCAGACCCAACTGCTATAGATTTTTCTGCCTTGGTGAAAGGCTCCTTTCTTATAGGATGATCTCCCTTCAAGTCACAAATACTCCTGTGTTTCTCATGGCTCCTCAAAATCGATTTCAGGATTAGAGCCTGTATTTACAACTTGGTTCACATAAGCCCCAGGTTGCCGAAGTAGAAGCTTCCCGTACACACATTCCCCTAACCTCTGCCCCCATCTGAAGATCACAGAATCACAGAATCACAGCACG